GGCTTGAATGAAGTCGATCAGACCTGTGTTCCAAAGTAGCGGAGAGCAGGGACACGCTCATGCCATCCTACCTTCACATACATAAACCAGCAGAAACGCCTCTTCTTGATTCCTGCGAGAATTGCATTAAGAGATTACCCAACTTGCTGGATGCCTGTAGTCCCTAGAAACAACACTGAAGAAAAGGATTCCGTACACTGCGGGATTTCTCCAGCTGTCGCCCACCCCATCTTTATTCATAAATACTGATCCTGGGTCCAGGTATAGGAACAGATTCCCTCTCAGCACCCCTGCTGATGTACAGATTTACTGCATAATTTCCCCCTTTGGAGCTGTCTTGGATGAGATGGATGGATTAATCTATACCTCAGCACTCCTGATAATTCACTTAACTGTATTAAAACAAGAGCATTGACTTTTTACAGCCACTAATCTAGATACATTTACTGGCACATTGATCCACCTATCCTAGGAACAGCTGGGGAGTCTGTGAAAGGCAGTAGCAAGGAGCTGTCTCTTGCACATCGCTCTCATGATCTGACAGGCCTGGACGCCTCCTCAGAACAGGGAGAGCTCCTGCGGTCAGATTTTCCACCAGAAAAATCACAGCCCTCAGGGGAATTGGGAAGCCTAGAACTTCAAAACACTGCAGTTAGAAACGCCTTCCCATTCTTGAAGCCGCTTGGAGAGTGCCATATATTGCCACTGGCTGCAGAGCAGCTCCTGCCTGTTAGTTTCAAGACACCGCTTTAAAGGAAAACAATAATGTAAGCTGGAAGTGGCGGCTTAAGTGGACTAACCGTCACATCTGAAATGCCAAGAAAGCCTGCATCTCCAGGGCCAAGTCGCCAGCCATTCTTCCTTCAGATACAGGCATAGTGGAGGAAGGTTCTCTTCCAGGCAGTTCATTGTTTATGAAGCTTTTAGAGGAGACCTTCAGAAATGAGTTCTGGGATTTTCAAAGGAACCTAATGGAATTAAGCACTGAACTTCCCACTGAAATTCAGCGGGTAGCTAACTCCCTTAGACCGCACTGGAAATCTCAGTGGCATACGATGTACCATGCCAAGCATACCAATAGCACTCAATTTTTCATAAGTGTAGTACCCATAGCAAAAATTCCCCTTGCTGTTACTCTTGGGCCATGTATGATCTGATGGAAGTTGCCAGCAAAGCACCAGTACTCGCTGAGCACTAATGCTGTACGTTAATCTAAATTATGCTAGTTGTTACGCAAGTTATGTAATTTAAATCAACGTAACTTACATCGGCTTAAAGCGGGGTCTACACTGAGCTACATCGACGGGAGAGCGTCTCCTGTTGACATAATCTACCTCTCGTTGAGGTGGATTAATTAAATTGACGGTTCAGGTCTCTCCTATCGATGTATCGCATCTTCACCTGACCCGCTAAATCGACGCTGCTGCATCAATTGCAGCAGTGCCGATTTAGCCGCATAGCGAAGACAAGCCCTGACAAAGACACAAGCAGAGTTAGAGAGATACTGTGACAACTATTTCCAAAGCCTGTTCTGAAATGTCTTGGTATGTACGCTCTCTTTATATATGGTGTTAGAACAAAGAGCTGTGGGTTCCAGATAAAATACAAATTAAAACAAAGCAAATCTGTGATACAGAGGAAATGTATGCACACGCAACCCTGCCTATTTTACATGAAGTTATAAGGCTACATGGCTAGCATCACAAGTCATGCTCATCCACAAGGGGTAGCAATGTTTCGGCCTTTTTCGCGATGACAATATAACTGAAAGACCCACACAAACAAGGGAAAACTAACTAGAAAGGGGGAGTAGTGAAACTGACACTATGCCATGTGCTGTCAAATGCACAAAGCAAACAATAGGAAACAAAACAGAATTGTTTTTCCTCTCACTTTTTTCCAGTTACAGCAATCTTAGGTGTTACCGGTAGCTATAGTGGGCAAACCCAAAGGAGAAGGAGGTGTAATTTTTAAGCTGATGTTCTCCTTTAATTGCAAAAGGCAGGAACATATTTAGCAAGTTCCAGTTCTGACTTGACATAGAGCTTACTAGTAACTGTAGTTGTCATTCACTGGGTGAGAAAACCATTTCCCCTTAGCTATGTCTTCAGTCCTTTATTTACCTTGCAAAAGCTATCTTGCCACCTACCCAGGGGTCGGGGGAGAAGGAAGACAGACTCATTGGTCTACCCTTCCAGCAATGAATTTCATAAGAGGCTCTTCTCTTCATGCCATATTCAAGACCTCCTCCTTGAACCTTTTCCTGATGGACATCTGCACTATGACATCAGCTGCCTAGAGCTAAACTCCTAGACAGAGATCATACCCTGACTACGCTGTGGTAGCCCCTCGAGTGCAGGAACTCCCTCTCCCTAAATATCCAGCTAGCCTGTCCCTTTGCACTTCTAAATAAAAATTGAAGAGGGTTTACGGGCTTAACCACTGTTGGCTTCTGTATATGACTCCACCACCTCTAAATGCCCCTCATTCAGCTTTTTCATTTATTACCTGCTGTGGTCTTTCTTAATGTACTGCCCATGTTTTAACCGTTAAAGACAATACTTCTTTACAATGAAAAGCAAGTGCTGAAGCTTGTAGCTCCTCCTAAGATTATAGAAAATTCTTCACTCTGCGTAATGCAACTGCGGTAAGTGGTTTGGGCAGGCCTAGAGACAAGAACTCACTGCCACACAAACAAGATCTCTCTCCTGACTGGTAGATATCGGCACCTGCACAGCAAAGCTAGAGGCCCCCAAACCACTCACATGGTGGTTGTATCTGAAATCACGGAAGCTCCAGAACCCCAAGGTCTCTTCTTGCCGTTGCATCAGACCGAGCAATTAGGGATGTGGGATCGTATAAACTATGGGTATGTCTACACTTACTTCCTGGTTCGGCGGCAGGCAATCAATCTTCTGGGATCGATCCCGGAAGTGCTTGCCGTCGACGCCGGTACTCCAGCTCGGCGAGAGGAGTACACGGCATCGACGGGGGAGCCTGCCTGCCGCGTCTGGACCCGCGGTAAGTTCGGACTAAGGTACTTCGAATTCAGCTACGTTATTAACGTAGCTGAATTTGCGTACCTTAGTCCGAAGTGGGGAGTTAGTGTGGACCAGGCCTTTATGGTACATTTTTAACTCTTATTGAAGAATATGCAAGATATGAACCCTGAGCCTTTTGCACCCATCAAAGGGCAACAGAATGGTGCTTAAGAATTCCGACCCAGGAGAGCAATAAATGAGCGCAGGGCCCTCAGAAAGGGGCTCAAATCACCTGAGCTAAGCACTTTCATAAAGACTAGAGGAAACTCTGGGGGCAAATCTAATCGGATTGAGACTCCTTCCACGACTGTCAAATCAAGAGCAAAGCAAGCTTGGGGAGAATGGCAGGAGATTGCCAACAGTGTTACAATTCCATGGGCAAGTCTCTTAATTGAGGTCAGTCTGCTCTCTGTCTCTGTACTGCATACAAGTACAGAGAGAAGCAAGACTTCCACGACAGCAACACCCACAAGTGCATGAATTTTATTTGTCCTGGGAAAAGGGAGCAACCTCATGGCAACTCTGAATTTCCTTAGAAAGCCTGAGTTTGCTTTCATTTAGTACAGACGTCCCCACAAAGGTGCTCAATGCCTGGTTTGAAGAGCCACTGTCTGGATGGGAAATCTCCTCCTCTCCTGCCTCCCATCTTTAGATATTAAAATGACTAAAAATGAGGAATAACTCAGTGATGGTGCTGGGAGTGCTCCAGGACCGCCTGCAGCCCTGCATCAGGCAGTGCCGTTCTCATGGCTGAGGAGAGCCGGACGTGACTCATTTAGGAGTCAGTGAGTACAGCTCCTGACCTGGCTGGAAGAGGCACGGACACGACCGTGCTCCTCTCTTTGCAGGAGCTGAGCAGCACAGCATTCCCAGCTCAGAGCCCAAGCTGCGATTCCTCCCGGGGGTCCCCCCACTTGACCGATTGGATGGCTGGGGATAATTGTGTAACAGTTAAATGACCTCTGGTGCCAATGAAGAGTTCTTAGTGGTTTACCGAGAGAGAGAGCGTGCATGGGAACGTCTAGCGCTTGGCAGAGCTCGGATGGTAACCTCCAACATATCATTCTCAGCGATCAACCCTGAATTAAACAAGCTAGTATCGGAAATGAAGGGAAGACAAGAACAAGCCTACAAGCTGAGCTCCACACTTCTGTTATTGCCAGCACAACCCGCAGTCTCCGAAAGAAACAGGAGATGCCTTTGGAGAGGACAGAGGCAGCATTTCACCATCTGCCTAGTAGGGCTGGGCAATTACAGGATGAGATTGAATTTCACAGTTATCCAATTTATCTGTGTTCATTATCTGAGACAGGAGAACTGGGCTGGGGAGTAATTCTCGAGTCTCAGCCAGGGAGAAAGAATCAAGAGATAGCTGACTCACTGGCTGATTTCAATGCCAGCCCCACTGAGGCACCAGACGCCATTTCATAACCACCGCAGTGCAAAGGGTGACTGGGCAAGCCAGAAAGCTGATCAATATTTCTTTTCAAATCAGTAAATCTATTAAAGAAAAATATTGCAATATGCTTCCAATCCTGCCTCTTGACTCCCGTCATGCACAAGTGCTGATTCACAGCAAAATTGTATTTTCATTGCCCTCTACCCTTCAAAAATTCAAACAAACAAGCTGACATTCCCTTTACTCCAGCGTGGCTCTATAATGCTAAATTGGTTTGGAAATGGAGGCAGATGTACACACCAAGAAAAGGTCTGGCGTAAACTGAAATTTTACTTCTATAAAGGTTTCCAGTGGAAGAGTCACGTGGTGGAGAAATCTACAAAGACACAGAGAACGTGAGTGTGTTGGAGGAACAAGCCACTCCCCGCTCTTGATGGGGGCTGAATGTTCCCCAGTAGACACATCCATAAGGAAGTGGGACACTGAGTGCATTTAGGAACTCTCAGGATTCCTGATTACCTGCCCTGTTACAAGCATGAAGTGCATTTGAGGTACGTTACCATTGGATTGGAGTCTGCAATCAGGTCACGTAGAGAATCCAGGAATCCCTGATCCTCCACCATTTGGGCATTGATGTCATGCAGCTTCGCCACGCAGACGGCTGCCGTCTTCCGCACATAAGGGTCTTCATCCTTCAGACACTTCCGGAGCGGCTCGCACAAATACTCAGTGATCTTATCCACACGGATGCATCCCATAGTACGGACTGCCAGAGCACGGATCAGCGGATTGGGATCTTCACAGTCCTGCAGAGGGAAGCAACAGCAACAAGTGAGTTTGTAAAACAAGCCACTGATGGTTTTCACCAAAGCTGCTGAAAGCTGGGATCAGGATATTCTGAGTTTACCCTGCCTAGACAATGGGTCCTCCCACTAGAGAAAGGCAATTTTCTGGTCCAGGACAAAAGGCTGGGAAAGCTTACTGGTTCTGAAAACTTTCCTTACTGGTTCTCAGTGGTTTCTAGCCCGGGCAGCTTGCAGATAATGAAGTCATGTTCTCAATGCCATTTGTTTTTCCTCACCCAAAGCTTCAGGTGGCATGACTTGATCACCCAATCTCAAGGACAGTAAGCTAGAGAGGAATGCTTTTGCCATGTGAAAGCCGGGAATTCTAACCCTGGTGGTTTGAGGTAGTGACTGCTAAAATCGGGTGAGAATTCAAGTGGATGGAAGATGGCAATTAACATAATGGGATTTTCTTCCAAGCCAATTTCTCATAGCCCTCCAGAAGTAGAAATAAACGTCCTACATAGTGTCACCATGAAACTGGGGTTCACAGCCATGGTAGTTGGCAATGCATCAGACCTTAGCTATCCTAGATCTCTCAGCCTAGCAGTGCTTTTGTGTGTGGGAGGGTGGGGTGCAGAACTGGACACAGTAGATCTCGCACCTCAAGACCAATGTAATTTTAACCCGATTTTAGAAATTCAGCCTCTGTTTCTGCCAATTACCAGCAGGATTCATCTATATTGTTAACAAAGTGCTTCAAAATTCAGTAGACAAAAGACCGAAGCATGAAAGCCCCCAACAACATGAGGCACGCTTACCTTGCACTATTTAATCTCTTATGATGGAAAAACACCTGAAAGGGACTGATTTTCAGATGTATACATGGAAATGATTCTCTGACAGATGCGTTCAACTCCTGGAAGTCAGGAACTGTAACTCAGATGGTGACTTAGCCTGAACTGTTCCAAACTACGCTACCGCCCATCAAAACTCACCCCCCGCCCCCATAACACATTAGAGGGGAAATTTAAAAGAAGGAGGTCAGAAAGTGCTACATCACTCACTAATAAGATATAATGGATAACTACATTCTGCCCCATGAGTCTGCTCAAGTAGGGAGCTGCACCTTCACAGCTGACCTTGGAAAGCAGATGTCCCTTCTGAACTTGGTCCCCCCCACGCCGCAACAGCAAGCTCACACCCTCCTGCCACACCAAAAGCTTAGAAACATGCTCTGACTTATTTACTGGTACTCTTTGGATGTTGGCAGGTCAATTCAAGTCTATTTAGAGCATTAAGCCACAGTATACCTAGGAAATAAGTTCTTTTAGTCAAGTGTGTTAGAAGATGTAGATATAAATGACATGGTAAAAATATGTGAAATAATGAACAGTACAAAAAAAGGTGGATCAGACTCTGTTATTTACTCTGACGACACAAGAAAACAAGGGAACAATCAATGAAATTGAAAGGTAGGTAATTTAAAACTGATACAAGGAAATACTGTTCTAAATAATGTACAGTTAACCTGGGGAACTCATTGCTACAAGGTACTGAGGCAAAGACGTTAGCGGGATTCAAAAGAGGACGAGACATTTCTATGGATAACCAGAAAGTCCAGAGTTATAATAAAGGCTAAAACAGGAACAAGAACTCTGGAAGGAACATAAACCCTCCTGCCTCAGGACATAAGCCACCCTCTAACTGATGGGGGTCAATAAAACTTACTCTGGGTGCTCCTCTCAGAACCACCTACTGCCAGGCTTATGCAGCTTCCTCTGTAGCACTTGCCACTGTCGGATATGGGCTACTGGACTGAAGGGACCTTGGGTCTGAGACAGCAAAGCAATTCTCAATTTCCTGCACCCCCACCGGAGTCCCACACGAGCCCAAAGACTGGGGAGGACAAGTATGTAGATTACCTGCAGCCTAGAAGAAGCACGTGCCAAACAAAGCACATTGACACAAACTGTAGGAGGCTGTTTTCTGATGAACCCTGGGCCAAGTTACCTTCACAAAGCTGTTGACAGCCATAATGGCCATATCCGGTTGACTCTTGGCATAGTTCATTAGGTACAGGTACACCAGCTTCTTCAGCTCCAGGTTGTCGGTCTGCATGCAGTTCACCACGTCTGGAAACAGTGAGCTGGATAAAAGGAGAGTGGAGGGAGGGGAAAGCAAAGAAGTCAGATGAACTGTTGCACGAAGAGTAAATGACCCGATTGACTGCATGACAGTGGAATCAACGGAGGCTAGGGAAAGTCTGGAGTTCTGTTCAAATCAGAGGCCACTTTCCGCCCCAAACATAGTTTGGAGACGATTTTATAATAGTTTAATCTCCTCCTGTGTTTTCATATAAACCAGTGCCTAGAGCAGGTAAAATAAAATGCTCTTATAGAAGATGTATCTGATTATGAAGTTGACTGAACAATGTTAACATCACGTCTAGTTCTGGGGTTCACCTGAAACAACAGGGAATGGAGCAACACTTCACAATGTTTAGGAGGGGACAGGAGAACTGATTTAGACTGAAACTGTAAACCAAACTTCAGCCCAGTATAATCTAAAACAATTAAGAGATTTAACCACAGCTCATATAAATACCAAGTAGCAATCTGTAAGCAGCATTTCAGAGGATTATACTGGATTACTGCATCTCTCAGGTGAGTTATGCAGATCTCAAAGCTAATGGGTCATGGGCCTTGGGATACTTGAAAGGTGCTGTCTCTTCAGTTCATCATCTCCTCTGTCCTGCAGTGAAGTCATAATGCTAATTTGCAACCTTACATTCATTTCCCTGGCAACAGACCATGAACCCAGGATTATGACAACTTTACTGCAGGATACAGGAGAATCTGGAAGCCTTGACTGAAGCAAGTTGCTGAAAAGACAACACAAGAATATTTATAGCTATTTGCCTTTTGTATAAGCATTCCTCTTTAGGAGTTTGATGCTGTGTCAAAGGCCCAGTTTGATGACTGTTAGCTCAAATCATAACTTTGTTTGATAACGACTGGCATACAATCATCTGAAAACAATACCTCTGAGTTGCCTTTTTAAACTAAAAACAAACCCCCCATCTAGGCTAACAAGTGGATTAAAAAAATGTCAGCCCAAATAGGACACCGAACATAGCTATAACTACGAACTGGTTTTGTTTAACAAGCCTTTGGCTAAACCGGCACTGGAGAATACTTTTTAATTCTGTGCAGTAATTTATTGCCCATGTAAGTGAAGAGCTAGAACTGGTTTGAACCAAGCAAAGTGCTAGCAAGCTTCTTCCCGTCCACCACCACCACCTTCCAGCAATCAAATAAAGCACTTGGATCCTGGCCTATAATGCCTCTACTCTTCCAGCCCTGGAGTTCCCTAAAGAAGAGACTGCCCATTCATTCCCAGTTTAGGACAGTATGATGGACAAATATCCATAGAAATTAAGAGGAGACCAGCAGGATAGAGTATTGGACTGGGACTCAGAAGACCAGGGTATTATTCCTAGCTCTGCCACTGGCCTGCTGAGTAACTTTGGGCAAGTCACTTCCCCACTCTGTGCCTCAGTTTCCCCATCTGCAATATGGGCATGATCCTGCCCTCTTTCATAAAGTGCTTTGAGACCTACTGGTGAAGAGTGCTATATAAGAGCTAAATGCATTTCACTTGTAACTGGGTCAGAATTAGTAACAAGGTTTCCAGATGTTCAGAATCCATCAAACCTCCCAAATGACTGTGTGAATTCAAATGCTGTCACAGTGTCTCAGCACAGAAAGGCTCCCACACAGGAGATGATGAAGTCAGAGACCACATGGGAGAGGGAAAAAGCCTTTACCTGACATCCTTCCCCACAGTCATGGCAGCAATAACCTTCTTCACCGCTTCTTTCCTCTTCTCTTTCTTCTCATTGTTGAGTTCAGCCTTCAGTTCAAAGATCTCTCCTGCAAGGACACAGAACAGTCTGAATTTCATGAAACCAGTGGATCTAGCTTTAGAGTTACCTGGAAAGTGACTTGTGCTCCCATCAACGCTGAAATGCTGCTTCCATCATCTTTGGGCTAGTGGATGATTCATGAGGTTATAGGAGGCCCCAGAAGAACTGCAGCATGAGCTGCACTGGGGAAAATAGAAAACCACCAAATGGGAGGCCCAAATTTGATAGCCTGGGACAGGAGAGACCAGCAGAGAGTCAGAGTGATTAGCCTCTGGAGCAGAGCTTGGGGAGGAAGCGACCCAACATTGCTTAGCCCCATTCACCAGTTAAACAGCAGTGCTGATGAGCTCCTAAGTTTGGTAACAGTGAGCTTAAGAATGTCTGGGGGTTGTTGTTCAGCCAAGAGAAACAAGGTGATCTTCTGCGCTCTAGCAATGGTGTGGAGGACACGGCCGCAAAGAAAAATGCTAATAAAAGCCACAATGTATGTCAGAATCTCACCACTTTCCAGGGCACTAAACCACATTGCTAAATTAGCCGCTGAGAAAGAGCACAAAGAAACTATCATATAACAGGGATCAAAAAGATCGAGGGTGCAGAGAGGGGAGACACTGGACTAGAACGTGTAAGAAATTGTGGCTCAGTTTAGCTAAGAATTCTGCCCCGACTTTCCTAGTTTCATTCTTGTCACTGTTTGCTTCCTGCAAGCACAAGTGAGGGAACAGTGGGATGACACAGATCACTGTGCAATACAAGCACGGCAGGACCACCAGCGTCAAAAATAGGGAAGGACGATTTTAGTCAAACAAACAAACAAACAAAAAACAGGTGAGGCAAAAAGATACAACAAGCAAACGACACTCAAGGAAGAGTCATGCCTGGATTCAGAAACCATCTATAAAATAACTGAAGAGATCCTTCCTGAGATTAATTCTTCCAGCTATACCCTTGTGCAAAATCAGTTGAGGCCTTAACTCTGCTCAGACAGCAGCTGTAGGACACGCCTGGTTTGGAAAGGAAGCAAACCCTTTCCTTCACTGGCAGCTGATTTTCCCAGGAGTACAGAGAAGGCATCACAATCATCAGAAACCACAAGTCACCTAACAAGGACACATAGCATAGCAGGAGTCAAGGGTAACATCAGGGGTGAGCTTTTGTGGAGGATCAAAGTACCCCTGGCAGTGCTACACTGTAGCCCAAACCTTTGCTCCACATAGACCAATGCAGACAAACTACTGTAGGATTCTCCTTGAGAGCCCATGATTGCAATACAGAAGGGCTGAATGGTATGAGAGGTGCCTGTTTCCCAGATGTTTGTGTGGGTCTAAAAATATCTGGCAGAGCCAAAAACGTTTTTTGGGGGGGAGGGTGGCCTTTGGAGTAGGAACAAGGACATGGATTTCCAATCTGAAAGCATGATAGCAAACAGCTATGAGAACAAAGCTGCGTTTTCCGTCCCTGCAGATTTTCTGGTTTCTCTTGATCGCTGCTCAAACAGGAAAAGGAACGGTCGAGCCAGGAGTCTGTATGTGACAACAGGCCCTTTGGGGCGGAAAGTTGTGCTGTTGATTCCACCATGCCAGACTGCAGGTGGAGGAAATGAAGGCAATTACCTAAACCGCAAACAAAATATGGCAAGGGATTTGAAAACTATAAAGAACACTTTGAGGAAACTGATTCGTTAGCATCAAGCACTATTGCTGATCTTGTTTAAAAGCCAGGAATGCGATATGGGCCAGTGAAACCTGCTTGGCATTTCATACCAACTCATTTAAAAGAAGACTGTAATCAATATCCTTAAAGATGTTTTATTCCAAATGGCATTTTTAGGACAGTCTAGCAGGCAGGCACGTCTGGGAAAAAGGCAAAGCAGCCTCGCATGCCGAGAGGTACATAAATCCCACTTTTCTCCTTAAACATTAGCTCAGTTCGTGAAGCCTAGCAAGTGCTGTTTGACTCGGTGCCAAGAGCTTTGATCAGGCAAGACCAGGAAGTCGAAAAGGAATGAACTGCAAAGATGATAGTCATAAACTATATGCCCTCTCACTTCCTCCGACAATAGGCCATTATGTTAGCAAGCCACCGTTTCCATAGGAAATGGCAGCAGCAGCAGAATTGGCTTGTAGAAAGATGCATTAAAGGTGCCGAGTTGTTATAAATGACTTCTATAATGCTGTAAATTCACACGGTGTTTAACAGAGTAAGGTATGTTCCCTGCCCTAGTGCCAATGACTCAAGCAGATCATTGGAAAGGAGCAGAAGTTACTGTTCTGAAGAACAAGGTTGTGGCTGCTTCCATTCCCAGCCATCTGAGAAAGACATCCAGCTCATCACTCTTATTGAGAGCACATCTGAGAGTCCGACTGAGCCAGTATGCAGCACCAGCATTTTCCTTGTGTCTGCATCCATTTCTGTGGGATGTACACGTTTGTTTTTTTTAAAAAGGTTATGGCAATCTTATAACCATTCCAGTGAGATCCAATTTCCTGCTACCTGGCTGAATCTGCAGCTAGGGCTGTCATTTCTCTCTAAGGGCTCATCTACATGGGGACACTCAGGAAAGTTGCTCCAAATTAACTTCAAAAGTGGATTAGTTAAATCATATTCACACTTATTCAAAATTAAAGTGGCCTTAAAATTCAGTTTAGATGAATTTACTGTGAATTAAGCTAACACCAAATTAAGGCCACTTTAATTCTGAGTAAGAACATCCACACAGGGATTTACTGCCGTTTAACTAAAGCACTTTAAATTCACACCTTTCGTTAATCTGAATTCAATTTCCTGAGTGTCCCTGTGCAGACAAGCTCTTAAAAAGACGTAAATTCGTTTTGTTTCAATAAGGTGCTCACTCTGAAGCATAATGACAACACAAATGGCAATGCAGACCATTCAACAGAAACATTTAGACATTCTGACACAGTGGAAGGTGCTAGAGACAAAAATCAACATTTTCCCCCAACCCAGACTCAGCCACAACAAAACGCAGGATCAGTTCAGCAGCACTAACGTCCCTAGAAAAGGCAGAGTTTGGAGGGCTTGGAGTTAATGGTTTGTATTTACTGCTAGTCCTTTAGGCCAGAGTTTAAGAGTAAGGGTAGGTCTTCACTACCCGCCGGATCTATTGGGGGTCAATTTATCTATTCACGTAGCTGAAGTTGCATATCTTAGGTCGACCCCCCCCCCGCTAGTGTAGACCTGGGCTAAGACAAATGACTCCACAGTGGTGGAGTAAGGGAACGCCTCCCTGAAGTGTGCATCATGACGACTTTATACCCATGAGCCAAGCTATTTCAGAAACACTACCTCTTTCAACAAGGTGTTCTGGATGATCACTAGGGCTAAGTGACACTCATGGTTACAGTAAAGTCATGTGGAGCACGGGGGTGAGGAGTTTGGTTGGGGGAGGGATGAATTGACTATCTGGCTCTTCTGGTAGATTTCTCCGTGGATTTTGAGAAGGCAGCAGAAGAGGACCCACAACTTTTTTAAAAAGTCTGTTGTGAGCTCATAACAAGCCTTCCAAATGGCTAAAAATGTGCACGTATAATCACCCAGACCCTTCAAGCCTATTCTTCCCCACCACCCAACCCAAGCACACATCTAGTTGTCTGACTGGACAACTGTCCATGGTCCTGAACCCTTCAATCCAGCCCTAAACCTCCAAACAAGTCACTGTACATTTCAAATCTCCAAGTTTTGCTTCCCTGATGCTCCGGAAAATCAGGGAGTCAGGAAAGGTAATTTGAGTCACTGAGTTTGCGCATTGCAAAACTATTCAGCACTTCAGTCCTGCCTTTTGATGCTACTAGAGGAAAAGGGAGAAGGAGGGGCTCAGTGACTGTTTCATGGCCTACTTTTGAAGAACTTCTCCCTGGATGATTGAGAGGAGAAATGGGGACAAAGCTAACAGGAGAGCATAAATTCCTCCAAGTGGAGTTCCAAAAAGCCACTTTAAAAAGACAGCCACCCAGCATCTCCAGGAACCTGCAATATTTTGTAAGAGTTTAAAGCTAACCTTTTTTATTGGTTGTGAAATACTTGGAGTCCGTCATGGTTCCAATTCCTTAGCACACCTGCAAGAACAATGAACATGTGACTAGAAGTTGCAGCTGCTGTCGACCACTATGCAAACTACACACGCAGAGAAACAAGGCTTAGCAGGAACGTAAGGGAAAAAGCAAGGGTTCTGAACATACCTTTGGGCCGCACCAACTAGTGAGGTAACTTAGCAAATACTTTTTTTTAAATCAAGGAAGTTTCAACTGAAGTTTGCTGGCAAAACACGGCAATTTGTTTTTGATAGGGCAGAAAAGGGGTTCAACAATCTCCCACCCTGTTCTTTCAGTCCTCCCTGGTGGGGATATTTTTAATTATACTGAGGGAGAGGACCCTTGTGTTCTCCAGATATTTCATTCACCTCCTCCCCTCAAAAGTGAGGTTATATTTAAGAAGTGTTCATTTATGGAAACAGATTCACGTTTCAGAACAACCCATTTCAGACAATGGAGGAACATAAGTAAGGAAAGGGTAGTCACCCCCTACTGGTGTGGTGCATTTTGGGGTTGCATCACAGAAGTAACTGCAAAACAGACCGTTCCCCACATGCATCAAAAAACCATTTTTCCTCATACACAAAGCATCACTTTTAAAAAAGGTGTTTTACAAGAAACTTATGGAAGCTTGAAGCTGAAATCTTTTCCATCGCACTGCAAACGCTGGTTTGCTGTTATAGGTACGTTGGTCATGAGGACTGGGTTGCATGGGGACATGTTGGTCTGTTACTATACGACTCCAGTCAGAATGGCTTCCCGACTACTTGCACTTCTTTGTTTCACAAAACAGAGTGGATTACCAACAACACGTACTAATTATAGGGACGTCACAAACATATCAGAAAGAATGTAGAATCCATTTCTACTTTTTTTTTTTTTTTTATGTGATTGGTGACGGCCAGGGAGGAAAGAGACTCTCCCAAAAACTTTTAAACAGTACCTGGGGAAAAGACAAGCACGGGAGAAAGAAGTCTTATTTCTTTTGATTATGAAATGAGTATCACAGCCGAAAACCTGAAATACAACTTGCCCCTATAATTATCCAATCAACTCCATTCCTAATTTTTCTCCCTCTCCTTTCCTGTTTTTGTCTGATCTCCTTTCTTGTCTTATGTGCATTTCTGTCTTCTCCATTTCTCTTGCTCTCCCCGTCTCCACTCATTGGTGCTTATATATATAGATAGATAGATAGATAGATATCCCATCTCCTAGAACTGGAAGGGACCTTGAAAGGTCATCGAGTCCAGCCCCCTGCCTACACTAGCAGGACCAAGTACTGATTTTGCCCCAGATCCCTAAATGTCCCCCTCAAGGATTGAACTCACAACCCTGGGTTTAGCAGGCCAATGCTCAAACCACTGAGCTATCCCTCCCCCTTAAGCTATCCCTCCCTCTCTCCAGCCCCTATTTCACTCTTACCCTTCCTTTTTCCCTGGGATAGGGACACCTCTGTTCTTCCTAATGACTCTTCCTCGGCTGAAAAGCTGATGTGGATCCCCTCGTAACAGACTTGAGCCTTCGCCTCCTCCTGTCAGCCTGAAGTGTCGGCTACAAAACAAGCAAGACAGCTTTTCTCCACAGGCTGATTCTGCTGTCTCCACAGAGCTCCCAGGCCCTGCTGGCCCAAGGGAACAAATTTGGGTTTGAACTCTTTCTGTCCCAAAAGAATAGCAGACCAGCACCACTTCCCGTCTGTGCTGCTCATCCCCCACCACTCAAAACACATCCTTTTGGAGCTTCTGGTCCGATCATACCTCCGTCCCTCATATTATGTTTATCTTTTCTCCTTTGCCTCCAGATGATGCTAATGCTGCTGTTTCTCTTGCTTCAGCAGTAAAGTTACTATGAGTAGTAGCAGCAGAGGTAATGAGATAATCCTGGTCACTTTCAGTTTTCTCCATAGGGGAGACTCTAGGCACAGCTGTAATCCTGTCCAGCTGCCAAGGAGCGGGAAACAGCAAATGTTAGTCTCTATATGCCCTCATCCTTATCAGATCTTGCCTGTGGCGCTCTTGCAGGTGTACCTACCCTCAGCCCAGCAGCTGCAGCAGGGTGACCTTGATCAGGATTGTTCACTCTGGTTCTGGTACTGCTTTACCACTGGGGTAGCTTTGTGTTTGGGAACAGCAACACAAGAGGTAATTTTGAAAACAGAGACAGGGAAGGATACTCAAAAAAAAAAAGGGGGGGGGGAGGGGATATAGCATCACTTTGAATTTAAACTCCCAAAGCTCACCAGTCTTGGCAGCAACCCCCATAGCTTTCCAAGAGAGGAAGTTGCTACAAGTCTCATTTCATAATTAAAAACGCAGCCTACTTGCAGCTGCAATGTTCTTGCTGACACACTGCTTAGGATTTTAGCCTAGTTTGAAAGAGGACTTAAATGTCTTTCGTTTACTAAAGTAATGGGCACATTACCAGTTTTATGAGAATTAATGTCGTTCTCGCTATGCTTTAGTTTTCTTACACACAGGATCTATCACCCTGGCCAGACCCTGCACAGATTTAGCCTGGTATTCTAATAATGGCCAATACCTGGTTATTTAAGGAAAGGCCAGAAACCCAATAATACGCATTTAACTAATTGTGCAGTGCTACACAGAGGAGGAAAATTCCTTGCTAAATTTCACAGGTGACCTTTATGCCCTGAAGCCTGAGATTTCATTACCCTTATTATTTTAGCTTGCTCAGTTACAAATGTCATTAGCAGTCATAAAATTACTCAGCTCTTATTTAAATCTAGTCACAGTACATGTCTTAATGACCTCCTGATTTGGCAGATACAAATAACATTTAAGACTATTATTTTAATAAGTACCACAGCTACAATATTCCAAATACAATACAAGGCTGCCTTTCCCCAGGGTGCAGAGTACTTTGCTTCATTCTATGTTTGAGCTCACTTCACACATGCTGTCAAGGGCAATTTCCCAGTGGTACTCACTATAATCTGGTTTACTAAGCAAACACATTACAGGGCACAGCTAGTCTCAAGTGAAACCCAAGAAACAAAGAGACATGAGAGCAGTGATTCACAAATGACAATGGTTTCAAATAACTGTCAAGGAAATGCCAGCTTCTTCTGCACAATTCAAAACAGGAGGAAAGCTGAAACATGTTTAAAGATGGAAAACAGCCATTTTTATTAGCAAGAACTGAGGGATGTTTAAAGATGACTGAAGCTGTAAAGTAACGATAGGCTCATTTTTGCTGTCCTGGAGCCCAGTGTCTAACTAGCTAAACTCAGAACAAGTAAATTGGGAATGGTTTTGAGGTTTGCAACAAAAGGCCTACGTTCACTCCCAGATAAGAACAAGAACATGACAAGAAAATACCCAGTGGGCTTTAGTCTCGTCTAGCAGCCCTGCTGGCTCACCAACATGTTGTTCTTTAAGTGTTTGAAATTCAAATTTAGATTGAAGCAGATGTGTCTAACTCAGTGACTAGAGCAGGAATAAAGGAATCACTACATCCAGAGACAAACAGTCTCACACAATAGCCTCAAAGAAAGAAGGGTCTTGTAACTGACAAATACAATTCCTGACCACCCAAAACTCTGTTAACAGGAACCTACAGGCCCTACCTAGTTTTGTGCCCGGACCTGGGTAATCGCAGGGGTGAAGACACTAAAATCTGAAAGGGAAAAGTCTCAGACTGAGACAATCTGAGTGGATGATTAACCTGGGAACTCTGGAATGGGAACAGTCCCAGTTGGTACATAGAAGTGGACCCGCTCTGGATCCATGGGTGGGTCCCCAATCTCCCTAGGAAACAGCCCCGGTTTAGCCAGACTAAGCGCTGAGCCAGCCCACCCAGCTGTGTGCGCTTCATCCACCCAGTAACAGCTCCCGGGTGGCGAGGGATGGTCCGAGTGGGGCTGGGCGTAGGCGGCGAGTTATATGGGCCTGCGGTGCCCCTGCTCCACCAATATTTAGGAACGTGGGTCCGGCTCCACCAATGTTTGGGCTTAACGCGCCTGGGGGGGGGGGCTTCGAGGGGGACGTGGGGTGTTAGCGGGGGGGGGGCGTGCCGCTGGCAGCAGCGAGTG